GTTTGAGGGGGGCGTTTTCGAGATATAGGGGGTCAAATGTCTACAATGGGGGGGGGGGATGTCATTATGTTGACGTAATATATTAATAAAACATAAATTTCTAGGACTGTCCATCTATAAATAAGTGTTTATGATGCCCCTGGACAACTGTTTTGATTTATGGGGAGGTGGGGTGGGGGTAGCAGGTGTGCGGGTGTGGAGGGTGTGGTGGGGATAAATTTGGCGGGGAAATGAGTTCACGTTGATTTAAATGATGATTTTCTAAGAGCTTGATGAAACATTTCCAAATATGTTTATAAGATTCCTATTGTATGGGGGTGGACGTCGGGGTGAGCGCCCGCTGTGGGGGGGGGGCGGTGCGGGTGATGGCGGGTGATGGCGGGTGGCAACATGTATTTTTGTGGACAGAAATCATTTCGTTCATAATTGAGCCTAAAGTGGTATCTCGTTAGCGTTTTCAATCAAATATTAAATTATAATGGCACTTTTCAAGAGATCTGGAAATGTAAATCAAAGACACATTAACTCAGAAATATGTTTAGTTGTTAGTTTATTCTTTGTCTTCATCAGAAGATTCAAAATCAAAAGTTCATATGAGCGAGATAAATATTTTCTTGGTTGCTGGCCAACAGCTTGCATATCCTTTGGATATGCTTCAGAAACCAATTCACATTTTAAATCGTCATTCCAGGCATGCAGCAGAGCAAAAGACCACGTATACGTCAAGGTGGTAATAAAGAAAAGTCTGTTATTTTTTCACCCAGAAAATCTTTTTTCTAGCGTCATCTAGTGGTGTAAGTCGTCTTTCGCGATATTTTCTACCTTTGCCCGTCTCATTATTGATCAAAATTTGTATATTTGGATCATCGTTTGCGAAGAGAATGATTGGGATGTCTATTTCGCCCGAGCAAGAACGCAAAATACAATTTGTTTCAGCACCTCCATTAATTTGCAATGCGAAGAGGAGTAGGTAAGATATTTTGGTGTCCTCGTGGTTGGTTGTTAGTTCTAGGATATTCTCGACACTTTTAATACTAATCTTGATATTTTTTGATCCAATCAAGATTAGTATTGAAAGTGTCGAGTATATCTCGGCCTACATGCTTTCAGTGGTAATAACTATCTGTCTTTCTTTTTCAAGATAATCCCAACTTTCTAACAATTTTTAAAGAGCTGGGATAGACAAATGATGCTTCTGATGACGTAAGAAAAAATTGTTTGTACATGTACCTTGTACGGCGAAAACCGACTTACATCAGTAGATGACACTAGAAGAAGTATCTTCTGGAGAAATTTTAATTGTGATGAAAAATAACAAAACTTTCTTTCTCTATTACCATCTCGCCCGAGTAGTCTTTTGCTGCACATTAAACTAATAATTATGTTGCAGCAATATGGAGACAGGTTGCAAAATTAATGATCGAACAAGATGACCCTGCGATACAAGGCTGGAATGAAGATATGGGTATCTGAAGCATATCCAAAGGATATACGCAGGCTGTTGATAAGCCATCAAGAAGATATCTAAACATGTGTTTTTTATGTACATTTCCAGATCTCTCGAAAAGTACCATTATAATTTAATATTTTGAATGACGATATTGGCACTGAACGAAAACTCGAGAAAACACTTTTCAGGTCAATTTTGAATCAAGTGGTTTCTGTCCCCCAAAATACATTTACCCTCCCCCACACAATGGTAATCGTATACACATATTTAGAGATGTGCAGTGGAATTGAAAAGTAATGTTTTTACCAAGCTCTAAGAAAATCATCAACCGTGAACTCACTTCCCTCCAATTGTACCAGTTAGTTTGGTCAAGTTTGGTCAGTTAGCGGACTTTGCCTGGTAAAATAAGAAGCCCATTGTTACCCCCCCCCCTCCCCTCTCCCACACACATCCATACACGCACACCTCCTACCCGCACCCCACCCCACCTCCCCACAAATCAAAATAGTTGTCCAGGGGCATCATAAACACTTATTTAAAGATGGGCAGTCCTAGAAATTTATGTTTTATTAATATATTATGTCAACATAATGATCCCCCCCCCCCACACACACACACACTTGCTATCCCCACCCCACCTCCCCACAAATCAAAACAGTTGTCCAGGGGCATCATCTCCCTCTCCCCCCCCCCCCCCATTCTAGACATTTGACCTCCTATATCTCGAAAACGCCCCCTCAAACGCCTGATCACCACCCAGATTCGGAATCTACGCAAAAAACTGTTCTAGAAAAACTTGGTGTCATAAATTCACAGCTCGGGTGGCGATTCCCCCCCTTCAGCTACCGGACTACCAGGCCCTCCGTCCTGAACCAATGACGAGGGGAAACCGTGCCAACAACTGGTGCGAACAGCGACCTCCAGGCAAGCGAGCCATGTGCGGTGTGTGTGTCTGTGTGTATGTGTGTGGGAGAGGGGAGGGGGGTAACAATGGGCTTCTTATTTTACCAGGCAAAGTCCGCTAACTGACCAAACTTGACCAAACTAACTTATATTCACGGAACAGAATCAATTCTCTACAAAATCTTCAATTCGAAACGAGCCCCTTAAAACTCCCTGTTAAATCTTTATGCAAGAAACTTGAAAGTTGTGGGACATCGCACAGCCACCACACCGTGACCCACTTGCTAAGGATGTGGGCCTACACATTTAATTCAATTGATTTAATTGATAGTTTTTGGGAGACATTCTGTAGATTTGCATCCTTAAAATCTGCTTTTTTTGAAATTCCAATCGAAAAACGAGTTGCTGAAACTATTTTCGCCAATAACGAAAAACAAGGAGAATCATCATTTTTAGAAGGGAATCCAATTAGTTTAGTTCGTTTATAGAATACTGGTTTAATCTCTCTCTCTCTCTCTCTCTCTCTCTCTCTCTCAAAACTCTTCATCGAATTACAACATCGCGAATAACAATTCATAAAGGAAACTTTAAATGCTTCAATTCTTTTTTTTTATTTCATGAAGAACAGGAATATAAACACAACACAATCATATCAAACAGAATACTTATACGTAAAACAAATTCTCTCTTCTATTATGTTTTTTTATCCGCAAACTGGGCTAGTCTGTATTTAAAGGTCAACCACTTTCTTTATGCATTGGCAACTTCCTTAACTTGTTAATAACATTCTTAATTTATTATTGCATAGAAGAAATTCTTAATATTTTAACATGCTTCAATACTGGACACATTCTTAATATATTTGAGAAATTTCTTTATACAAAACAATCTTAATAGATTCATAATTAACAACTATCTTAATATATTGATACAATTCTTAATTCATTATTCTTAATATGTTATAGCTTTTTTAGTGCTATTTTGCTTGAAAACGTTGAGAGAATACTCTTCGAAACGTCGCCCAAATAAATCAGTAATTGTTCTTCCATAAGTATGTGTTATAGTTTATTGCTCTATCCAGTTACTAAATGCCTCTAAAAGATCAGCATTTTTAGTATTTCAGAAAGCTTCTTAATATGTTATAGAATTCTAAATATTCCAACAAGATTCTTTGTATTTTATAGAATTCTTAATATGTTATGGAATTCTTAATATTTTAACTATCTCAAAAAATTGATACAATTCTTAATTCATTATCAGTATACTAAGATTCTCACATAACCAGCCCAAAATCAACTCTCTAGACCCTAGGATGATGAAGATACCTGGTCGACTAGACAATGCCCACAATTTTTTCGTTAAAAATGAAAATGGAGAATATGAACTGTCAACCATTAGAGACTATTTAGATTGTGTGTAGATTTAGATTTTAGCCCAGTTGATGCAGATTCTAGCCCTCCTTCAATAGCATGGTGCGTGAAGAATTAGTACCCCACTTGGTATTGATTTTAGTCCATCTTCAATAGCCTGGTGCGCAGAAGCGTAGCTGTGAAATATATATTGGGGGGGGTCCGCAACCCTAACCCTAACACATTTTTTTAAAACCCCCAAAAAATATAAACAAGCACCATGTGGCCATGCTGTCTACCAAGACACCGCGTGCAAAAGCATTATGGTTACGTTGCTGGCTGAGCGGCGATAAATATTTGGTTTAGGCGATAATGTTTTTGGGTACCTACATGCGATTCACTCTGATAAGTGGCAGAAAAAAAATAACAAAATATTACCGACAGGCTAACTAGACACAATTTTATGGAACACGGTTACTTTTCACTTCACACATGTTTCCAGGATGATTCTGTGTTTTATTTTAGCAATGTAAACCATATTGGGATATGTACAGGTTTTATACAGATAGAATCTTAACTAATCCTAATAATTGTTGTAAATACATAGGAGTTTGGGCCTACTATGTAAATTTTTTGGGGGGGTCCAAGTATATTTAGACCCCCCCCTGAAAAACAATTGGGGGGGTCGGACCCCCCCCCCCCCCCTGTGTGACGCCCATGCTGGTGCGTGATGAATTAATAGCCTGGTTGGCGCAAATTTTAGTCCTGTTATTATTAGCCCTGGGGGTTGGGCGGTTTTATGGTGTAAAGAGTACACAAGAAGACAAGAAAAAAAAAAACAGCAATGTACTTACAAACCTATAGTGTGTCATTTGGCTAATAGAGGTGGGGAGGGGGCAAAATGGTCAACGTGTCTGCAAGTTGCATCTTTAGGTCTGTCATCGTGCCGTCAGCAGTGTGGATTCGATTCCCTACTAACGTTTTTAGTGACAAGGAGTAAGGTCGTCTGTCAAACCTCATTGGTTTTCTCCAGGTCCTCCAGTTTCCTCCCACTGCTAAAGACCACTACGCGCAAGCAAATTAATAAAATAAAATTGAACCATATATGTTAGTCCCAAATGACCTAGTTTGTGTCGAGTGGACATGAAACCCCAGTTCTCTTTTTATTAGCCTGACTGGTGAAGATTTACCAAGTATGGATTTTCTTGTCTGCTGGCTTGGAGTTTTTTGTGCTCTTTTCCCATCAGCCAAATACCGAATTCCCTTTGTTTCTAATAAAAGCATTTTCTCACATAAAAGTAAGTTTAGAAAGCAAGTTTTTATTTTTTTTATTTAAAATAATACAACAAAATGAAAAGAAATGCACCAACGGGGGCAAGGAAGATGATACAATAATACAACAAAATGTTATTGACCATGCAAACTCCTCAAATGAGAAGTGACATAAGGTGGTCTAGAAAGAGTAAGCATACTCTGGCTTGTATCCAACACCAGGCAATATAATTTATATATACCATGCACAAGACTTGTGAGGAATGTACTATAGGGGGGTACTGACCCTGCACCTTTCATAGCAAATAGAACCGTTCACAAATTGATACGAATTTAACTTTCAAGAACATATGCTTAATACATAATTATATTTGAAGATACATTCCCATGAAAGTATTTGTAGGGTAGTTATTTCCAATTATGGCAAATTTTCTTACTAGAAAAAAATACTGGATTCCTTTAAAAAAACACCCATGGGGCAAGCAATAGGCAAAAATGTCAGGGTATCAATAACTATCAATCCAATGGTTTATTGTCTGCCAGCTTTCCTTAGGAAGTAAATAAAATGAAATGAATTGGGGTTTAACGTCCTACTGTTCTGCTCCTAACCTGGGTTAATGAAGACGGGCATACGTCATACAGTGTGCTATGAGTGAAATTTTGCCCGGGCAGCGGCACTACGGCATACTCTTATATCGAATTCCAACTGCCAAGGGATCTTTTACGTGCACGCCAATGTGAACATGGGACCTCAGATTTTCGTCAGGCCCTCCATCCTGCATCACTGACAAGGGGAAACCACGCCGGAAAATCTGAATGAACTTTCTCGGCCAATGATCCCCTTCCTTAGGAAGTGCTTATTGTGAGAACAGTGAGGGGTTTACACCAATCTGATTAAAATACAGATCTATATTTCGTTTCGTTTTTTATACTTTCCATAGCCTACACTACATGAAGATCTGACAAGTTATAGTGATAGGTCACGTCAGGGGTCAAAAGACCGACTTTTGACCTATGACGTCAGACATTTGATTAACCAATCAGCATTGGTGTTAATAGTGGATTATCCACAGTTCCAGGCAAAAAAGGTCAAACACTCGATTCGACAGACCATTTGATTGGCTGACCACTCATTTCAAGCAGAAAACGAGTTAAATAACAAGTCTTCCAGATCCAAGTGTAGTAAAGATAAGTGAAACGAAATTTTGAACTATAAAAACGAAACGAAATAGGATCTGTGTTTTAACCAGATTGGGTTTACATAAAACTCTGCGATTAACCAGTGAAAAAAAAGGCTGGCCGACGATAATCCAAGAATTTACTTAAGCTTAGATATGCATGGTAAATGAACAACAAGTAACAACATATACAATCAAGTTAAATGACAAATAAGTCTGCTTAAAATACATTTCTACGGCATGAGTTAGATTTTTTCCAATTAAAGTTTTGAGAGGGATTAGATGCAACCGTTTGATAGATTAATTAGTTTGAATAGGTTTTTAGTCCAAATATATCATCACATCACCCAGTTTGTACGTGGGAAGGTTTCTTTAAGGACAGATTAGTAAAAAAAACAAAATATTTTTGACTTTTCTCTGTGTATCTTTTCTGGGAATATGTATGTATAATTGCAATTCTTGTTTTGTCTATGTCTTGTTCTGCAGTCCTCCTGCACATTCCTGTTAATTCACTGGATGGTTTGCTTTATCTATGTCTTTTTGTGCAGTTCTCCTGTGCTGTCTATCAATTAAATAGTATTTTACATCTGCTAACATCGTGACAATTAGTCATTAGAATATACCCTAGAAATATGCCATTTTATGCCTTGAATCTTACTAAAGGATGGATTTTGTTTTGTCTGTGTTTTAAGGCAGTGGCTATTGTTACAACGAGTCGTAAAAATGATCCTCAGGCTATTGTTACGATGATGCTTTCACAGCCCTCCATCCGCGAAGTTAAAAACTAAATAGTCTTAAAAATAGTCCTAACCCTAACCCTTCCCATCTCTTAATTGCTGCCTTCAGTTCTGAAAACGTTGAAAATACTGCTCCTTTTTCAAAGCTGGAGTTGGGGAGATTGGCAGCCATTTTGGAATTCGTTCTAACCTTGGCTCCGACTCGTCATAACAATAGCCACTTTCATGTTTTAAACAGTCAGTTTTCAAACCATAACAGAAAAAGGCCTTGTTCTTTATTTATGTATTGAATTTAACTGGAACTGGTATTAATACCTACCGGTAGTAATTTCACTGAATGATTTATTTTGTTGTGCAGTTCTCTATGAATTAAACAGTATTTTACATCACAACAATCCGTCATTAAAATATGCCTTTTTACGACTTGCATTTTTCTAAAGGATGTTTTAATTAACTAGAAATTTCACAATATTGTTTATTTCATCTATGTTTTTTAATGCAGTTCTCCTACTTTCGTTTTTTTACTTCTTTGCTGCACGTGCCAACATGTCGATTAACATGTCACATCAGCCATTTTGTTGAACGGATTAGGAGGATTGGGTTTCTGATGACTTCACTTCCTCCTCACTGGAGGGATTTAACTTTTCACCGTTATTGTCCTGCGTACGTTTAATATCTGGTATTGTTTTATCCGAGTCTTGTTTAACGACCCCATCACTCAACTTAACACCATTTTCACTGCAATTCTCTACTGAAATATAAATACACATTTTTTAACGTCATCAGCTTAAGAATCGTGTAGATTTTGAATAGGGAGCTGGATTAATATGTCAAATACACTTTTTATTCAGATTGTAGGGAAGCTTTTACAACAAACTTAACAGTGATAGTTTCTAATTTAAAGGCCCAATACCACTCTTGTTGTAACTGAAAAATATGTCCAAATCTTTATTCTGGTCAACAAATTGTACTATTTTAGAATATTCCAATTAATTGATGATACAAATTTCATCTTAACACACCTTATTTAAAAATTTTGAAAAATTCAACATAATGGTTTGAAACGTCTAACGTAAACCTTTTCAAATGAAACTTCGATTCAAAAATATTTTCGAACCCTCTGGACAAGTAAAATAGGATGTAATGGATAATTTACACAACAGGTACATGTAGGACTCTTAAACATCTAGTACTTAGATAGAGATATTATTTATTTTCTGGAGCTTTCAACCCAGCAAGAGTGTTATTGTCCCTTTAACTGGAGAGAGAGAGAGAGGGAGAAAGAGAGAGAGAGAGAAGATGGGGTTTAACATCCACTCCACGCAAACTAGGTCATTTCGGGACAAACATATGGTGCAATTTTAATTCAATAGTTCTCTTGCACATAGGGGTGCAGTGGGAGGAAACCGGAGAGCCCGAAGAAAACCCACAAGGTTGGACCTTTCTCTGCATGTCACTGGGTTTGGACCTTTATCTGCATGTCACTGGGTTTGGACCTTTATCTGCATGTCACTGGGTTTGGACCTTTATCTGCATGTCACTGGGTTTAAACACATATAACATTAATAGCCACCTTTTTTTTGTCTTGTCATTTATCATATTCTTTTGTTTTTCTTGTCTTTAATGTAACCTTTTCATTTTTTTTTTCTTGTCTGTACCGTAACATTTTAAATTTTTTCTTGTCTTTAATGTAACCTTTTCATTTTTTTTTTCTTGTCTGTACCGTAACATTTTTAATTTCCTTTATATTTTAGCCATTTTCTATAATTACCTATTTTTAAATCTTGTATTTTCTTACGCACTTCTTCTTCAGTTTTTCGAATTTCTTCTTCGATTTTCTTTTTGTCTTCTTCTGCTTTCTGTTTCTCCCCTTGCAATTTATTACGCATTTCTTCTTCAGTTTTCCGAATTTCTTCTTCAATTTTCTTTTTTTCTTCTTCTGCTTTCTGTTTCTCCTCCATCTTTATTCTCAGTTTTTCGTTCTTTTCATAAAGTTCTGACAGAAAACATTTAAACATACATTAAGCAAGAGCTAAATCAGTCTATTGCAGGTCTTGCTTTAGGCCTGATATGTTATCTAAATTATTAATTAGACATTAATTAAACTATCCAGTCCATAATCAATTCTAGATGGCATCGCTAGCCTGCGATCTTTAGAGAATTATGAGCCGTTTTACTGCATAACTTTCCTTCACAATTTAACAATTAAATGGATAATCAAGACTATGCTGTTTATCGTACTGACTTTAGTAATGATGGTCGAGGCTAGGCAGAAATTTCAATCGATTAGTTCTCGGTTCATAGTGGGATCAATTTGAATGAAATTTTCAGCAAATTGCCTTTACATTAACTAGTTTTTAACTGTTATAGTGTATCTTTAAGGAAACATAAGTGTACTTGAAAATTAGACGAATTCATTAGACATCAGGGCCCAGTTTCACAAAACATTCTCAGACTTAAGTTAAGAATTTACTCAAAATTGTTCTCCTTTTTTTAACTGAAATATAGCCCTTTATAAAACTAGTGTTTCTGAATCAAAGATATTTCTCATAAACAGTGATTGAAATTATTCGCCTTATTTTAACTAAAATATAGCCCTTTATAAAACTTTTGTTGTTTTAATGTATCAAATACATCAATAAGAAACTATGTGCAAAGTTGTATGTTTCTGGATCAAAGATATTTCTCATAAACAGTGATTGAAAGTTGAACAAATTTTTAACATCTGAGAATGCTTTGTGAAACCAGGGTCTGGATTTGATTTGAATTTGAATTTGTTTATCGAAATTCATTCAAATTATATCTATTTATGTTCTCGGTAGTTTATTGAAATTGTGTTCAATATTTTTTTTTCTGAATTGGAAATGAAATGTGGTTTAACGTCCTACTGTTCTGCTCCAACTGTACTAATGAAGACAGGCATACGCAGGGCTGTCGGTAATTTTTCACAGTTGATTAGCAACACTGCTAATCAAAAAGACCAATTTTGCCAAATTGATTAGCAGTTTTTCAGTTTCAACGTAAAACACCTAAATAACAAGATATTACTTTAATTCATAACTAATTGAAATATGATTAGATTCCATTCTGACTATTCTTAGATTTTTTAGCACTGCCACAAGTACTTGTGACAGTTTGTGAATGTGATGTAGACATTTAGTTAGGTCTTATGTCTGAAGCCAATTCTTGACAGTGACTTCCGATGCCCCACTCATTTTAATTGTAATTTTTTTGTTACGTTAGAAATCTTCGTTAGAAAACAATTTCGTCTGCTTTTTATCGTGTATTATTGTGTCAATATCCAAAATGACAGGCATATTAATGATTCGCAGTAACTGCGAATCAAAAACATTAGATTTTAATTTTTGGTTAGCAACGGACAAAATATGTATCGCAAATTGCGCTGCGATACTGGTTGTCGGCAGCCCTGGGCATACGCCATACATTGTGCTATGAGGGAAATTGTGCTACAAGTTTCTCTTATATGGAATTCCAACTGCAAAGGGATTTTTTACGTGTACGCAAATGTGTACACAGGACCTCGTTTTTTCATCCCATCCAAATGACGAAGTCTGTAACAAGGTGCTACTAGATGTTGTAAAAATAACTAATTTACAAACCCCAACATTTTTTTTTTTAAAATTGTTAGGGTTCGTTCTTTTAGCCTGAGAGCCATGGTTTCTCAGTGAGTAAGCCGCTGGCTCACTAACCAGGAGGTTTCGGGTTCACTCCAGGTTTTGGCCTTGAAAAGGAACGAAAGGTGATATAATTTTAAATTTCAAAAGGTTTTTCCTTACAACCACATAAAGCATCCCTGACAACAATTATTTAAGGTTCATATTTTGCACAAGAGAGAGAGAGAGAGAGAGAAAGAGAGAGAGAGAGGGGGAGAGAGAGATGGGGTTTAACTTAAATCGACACAAACTAGGTCATTTCGGGACTAACACATGGTTCAGTTTTTATTTCAATAATTCCAGGAAACACGAGGACCCAGACAAAAACCATTGGGTTGGACAGGCAACCCTACTCCTTGTCACGTACAACCGGGGAATCGAAAACACGCCAGTTGACTCAATGACAGACTGTATGATACAGCGTGCATGTGCTAACCATTCAGCCGTCCAAGCCCCCTTTGTTTTATCAAGTAAAACTCGATTTTTTTGCAATTTTTTAATTAGTTTTTAAACAACACACACACTTTCCTAAATCTGTAAATGTAAATATACCCTCACTGAACCATTGTGACAAAAACCACAAACCAGATCAATAATTCTAAGCATTTCATGTTTTTTATATCAGAAAACAAAAGAAAATATTTAAAAATATGAAAAATCAATATGGAGAAGGAAAGAGTTTATAAATGATAAAAGTTCTACGAGTTCGATAGTAATTAACAATAAATTGAAAAACAATTGAGCAATCTGTCTATTCAACCATGTCATAATGATTTCAAGATCTTATCTAGAAAAAAAATGTCGGGATTTCTCACATCGATGGATCTATTGCAGTACACTTTTAATTAATATGAGAGAGAGAGAGAGATCCACTGGGTACAATCTAGGCCATTTCGGGAAAACATAATATGGTTAAATTTCATTTCAATAATTTGCTTGTGCATAGAGTTCATTATCTGTGTGAAGAGACCAGAGAACCCCATGAGGTTGGATAGGTGACCCTACTCATTGTCGCGCACAAGAGTTTACCTGAAACCAAGCCACTTGACTTAATGACAGACCTTTTGATCTAAAGTGCACACCACCCAACCCACTTTAAAGATACATTATGGGAGATTCGATAACGAGTTGGCAGTTCTCACTATAATAGTTAAAAACTAGGTAATGTAAAGGCAATTTGCTGAAAATTTCATTCAAATTGATCCACTATGAACCAAGAACTAAGCGATTGAAATTTCCGCCTAGCCTCGATCATCATTACTGAAGTCAATACGAAAAACAGCATAGTCTCGATTATCCATTTAATCGTTAAATCCTGAAGGAAAGTTATGCAGTAAATCGGCTCATAATCCACTAAAGATCGCAGGCTAGCGATGCCATCTAGAGTTGATTATGATCTGGATAGGTTAATTAATGTCTAATTAATAATTTAGATAACATTTTAGGCCTAAAGAAAGACCTGCCAGAGACAGATTTAGCTCTTGCATAATGTATGTTTAATCAAGGACAGTTCATATTAGATTTAATCTTTAACAGCCACGATAAGCTTCGTTCAAATCAAAACAATTAAAATAGGGTTTAACATCCTACTTTCTACACCAACTGGTGTATGCCCGTCTTCAATTGCCAAGTCGGTGCAGAATATTAGGACATTAAACCCCATTTCATTCTTTCGCAGAACTGGATTTGTTTTAAAATAACATTTTGGTCGGTCTTTTGTTCATTAATTTAAAAAAAGCCTGAGCCAATATAAAAACCTGTTAGCTATGACACATACCTGCTAATTTTTTACAGAACTTTTTATGTGTTGACCAGTGTAATTTCTGACAGTACTGACTACAATATTGTGCCTGAAAATATAATAACATCCTTACAAATATTTAATCATTTAAAACTAAACACTTCAACACTTTGGGTTGAGAGAGAGAGATAATTTCTTCTAAAAACAAGAGAGTACTCCTTTAAATGAAGATATTTTGATACGAATAAAACACACCACATTACGCAAATTAATCTTAGATTCGATTAAATAAAAATGCATTTATGAGTGAGTTCATTACACAGTGGATTGCACAATGAACCTGAATTAAACATACACAGTAGTTTTTGTATTTTTTACAAATTTTTACAAATGTTTTTCGCCTCAACTGGGATATTGAAGACTAGCATGCTGTGAGAGCATCCATCCATACTTCATCGAATTCCAACATTCAAGGGTTCTTTTTTTGAGAGAGAGAGAGAGAGAGAGAGAGAGAGAGAGAGAGAGAGATGGGTTTAATGTCCACTCGAGACTAGGTCATTTTGGGACCCGCTTATGGCTCAAGTTCATTAGAGAGAATTTGGGTTTAACGTCCACAGCAGTTGTCCAAATAGATATGAGCTGAATTCAGTCGTCACAGTTCTGTCATGTTTCATCTGTCATGGTTGATTGATTTTTTTTTTATTCAGACGGCGCATGTGTTAAAAGTCCCAACTGTCACTATCTTTTGGGATTGAGTGAATTCAATTCTGGAACACTCAATCGAGTATCCCCAAATTTTGTAACCAAGGGTAATAACTCTGGACGTTATTACTGAAAACCAATGACCGCAACACCATCCTAGCAAAATGTCAACAAATAAAAATGTTTGAGATTAACAACTCATAAAGGGGATGCTCAATCGAACGTTCCAGAATTGAATTATGTCAAACCCTAAAATAGTGATAATCAAGTGAAAAAGGAATTTTAGACTAGAACGCATTCTCTAACTGCACGAGAAAATATCTCAACCAACCATGACAGCTGAAACATATTCATTAGGTTTAATTGTGTCACGATTCTAATCACACCACCTCTGTTGTCGTGACTGACAGAACATTGACAGGACTGAATTCTGTGTCACTCGATTGCAATTCCGTCAATTTGGGCACCCCCACAGTATCAACAAGATTTTGGAACAAAGGGGAATAACTCTGGGTATTATTAAAATTGGAAAAAAATAATAAACGTACATATTTACAAACAGAACATTTTTTGATGGCATCCTTTTCACTACAAGTATTACAAGTATCGTCATCCATAGCAAACTGTTGACCATTGACCCCTTGTATTAACGTCTGTAACGCTGATGGTTGATCACCCTGAAAAACAAAAACATTTTACGTACCTCTTTCTTGAAAATCTTTTTTTTTTTTCTATTTTAAGTGAAGCCTACATTAGGGATGATGATTTTCCGTTTCAGAAAATAGCAAATTCGGTTTTAAGTATTTTGAATTCCGTTATTTTCCGTTTCAGAGCTGACCATATTCTGTTTATTTATGAATAAATGAATAAAACATCTTAAAATGCCTTTTATTACAAAACGGATCATTTTAAACCAATGAAAACAAATGTTGAATTGTGAATGACTTGTTTAAACCTGTTTCCCGAATTAAATAACAGAAAATTACATCTTGTGAGCTTGTTTCATCTTTTTAGCAGACGAAGCCATTTTTCTCAGCTGCTAGTTGTAGTCGCGATTTATCCAGACATCTTCGTAGTTACTACCGTTTTTTCGAGAATAAGGGCTGGATTCACAAGGCTACGGCATATTTGTGATGTCACGTGGTTAATGCGGATAAACACGAGTCACGAGCCCGGCAGTAAAATAAGAAGTAAATGAAACGATTTTTTACTTTTATGAAGTGACAAAAGTTTTTTTTAAGACATATATATACATTACAATGTTTAATTCAAGTTCAACTACAGAGTAATTGTATACAGGGATACATGAAAGACGGGTTTTCATTTCGAGTAAAATTATGATTCCTAAATGATGAAATGAAAGTAGCTAAATACTAAAATAGACAGTAACAAAACCACGCGATATCATTCAATATTTCCGATTTTTATGAATAAAAAGATGAAATACTTTCCGTTTTGAGTGGACAATTCTGCGATTTCCGCGTTTTTTCCGCGATCACGGAAAATCATCAACCCTACTGCATCTTTAAAAGGCATTTAGTGAAAGTGATATATAATAAACAGATAGCTTTATAGATACATGTAACATTAACTAGGTTTATTAACAGCAACGTTTCAATGAGGACACGTTATTGCTTGATTACGGTGAGAGTGTCCTCATTGAAACGTTGCAGTTAATAAACCTAGTGACTGTTATCCATGAAGCCTGTATCTTTACAGGCCCGGGAGTGTACAGCGCAGTGGACACTTACGACTGACGCCTGGATCCATTTACTTGATTTGATATTTGTTGTTTATTTCTTGCAATGTTTGTGTGACTTGTCCGCAGGTTTGTATTTCTTGCAATGGTTATGTGACTTGACCGCAGGTTTGCCTTGTCGGTTTTGTTTTGCGGTACTCCATTTCTTACTATTAAAGGTCACCGAAAAAGCTTTACAAATTTTCTAAATAATGCAAGTAATTATGCCAACATATCCTATCCATAAGTATAACACGAACCCGAATGTCAATATTACCTGCAACAGGTAAATTTCAACTTTAGTGATTTCTGCCGTCCTCCGTTGGTAGTCGTAACTTTCCGTCAATAAACAATCTGTGACGTCATTTTAGTCCTCCACTCATAAAAATATAGACTAGAATATGAGCAGAAGGACTAAAATGACTTCACAGATTATTTATTGACAAACGCTTTCTGGTGAACTTTAATATCAAGCAACGAGGAAATTTGTAACAATTTTGTTTAAGTCATTCATCAAAATTAGTGATATGTTCAGTTGAGACCACATCCAGTGTAATAAATCAAATATATTTACTATTTTCACGGAAGAAATCTGTCAGACTAGGGTTTGTAATAAATCGAATATACTTACTATTTTCACGGAAGAAATCTGTCGGACTAGGGTTTGTAATAATTGTGATTCTACGTAGGGAAATTCTTTTAAAGCTTGGCGTATTAATCTCTCCATTTTCTCTGGGAAACCATCTCCATCTCTTCCTCTCACTAAACTACAAATAAAATCCAGACATTGATAGACGATGTCCTATTATCAGCCGGCGGGGGTGGGGCTGGAGGGGTGGATGGCCGACAGCTGATTGCGAATGGTTAGCGTGTGTGTGCTGTATTATAAGGTCTGTCATTGAGTCAACTGGCATGGTTTCGATTCTCAAGTAGTACGTGACAAGGAGTAGGGTCGTCTGTCCAATCTCGTGGGTTTTCTCGTGGGTTTTCTCCGGGTCCTCCGGTTTCCTCCCACTGCAAGCGAATTATTGAAATAAAATTTAACCAAATGTTAGTCCCGAAATGACCTAGTTTGTGTTGAGTGAACGTTAAACCCCCATTTCTCTCTCTATCATACAGCCGATTATAAAGTGGGGACGCAAACCGATTGCCCTTAAAAAGGTTTGATAACTCTGTTTAACAATCAAAATACTTTTAATTTAAATCTTATGCTCAACTTGATAAATCTGACCATTAAGAAATTTGTCCTGTATCATGTTTTAAAAGTCAGAATTTGAACTAAAATTAATCCAGCAAAGCATATTAGTAATCCAAATATTTTAATATTCGATAGAATTTTGGTTTTCGAACTGCTATTAAGAACTTTTCCTGTGTCACTTACATATGACCACACGAAGCATTCCTGCAAATTTGATAAACTTGTGGGTGGTCACATGAAATTGTGGATGGGCGACAATATACGGCCACATTAAAAATGAGGCTGACAAAAGCAAATTGAAAGTCTTTCTGGTCTTTGTGAAACATAATCCTTGTCTTGAACAAATAAAGGGAGATAACCATAACTTTAAACATGCATTATGCAAGAGATAAATCTGCCTGTTGCAGGTCTTTCTTTAGGTCTGAAATGTTATCTAGATTATTAATTAGACATTAATTAACTTATCCAGACCATAATCAACTCTCGATGCCATCTAATGTGCCCATTTTCATTGGATTTGAATCTGATCTGCTGTTTAACGCGCGTTGATGATTAAACGCAAAAATTGATAATCAAGACATTGTTAATTATCATGACAGCGGAAACAATGACAATCAAGGTTACGGTGATTTTAAAATAAAGTTTTCTCGGCTTAGAGTGAATTAATTTGACTGAATGTAATGTATCTTTAAACATGCATTATGCAAGAGCAAAATCTGCTTATTACAAGTCTTTCTTTAGGCCTAAAATGTTATCTAAATTATCAATTAGACATTAATTAACTTATCCAGACCATAATAATCTCTCGATGTCAAGGCTAGCTTTCGATGTTGGCTGGATTAGATTCCTATATGCCGCTAACGGCCATTGCTAATTAAATAAATAAAAAATGGATAATCGAGACTATGCTGTTTATATTAATGATTTTAGTAATGATGACCGAGACTATGCAAAAATTTCACCCGCTTCTTTCTTGGCTCATAGTGGATCAATTTGACTGAAATTTTCAGCAAATTACCTTTACACTATCTAGTTTTTAACTATTATAGCGAGAACTGCCATCTCTTTATCTTATCTCCCATAATGTATCTTTAAGTATGTACACCATCAATGTTTTCAATTGGTTACCTCGGTGGCCATAAAATGAACAAAACAACCCCCCACAATATACCTTTTGATCCAAAATTCTAAATTGTCGTTTTTATCGTCATGCGATGTTCTGGCCAGTCGAATTAAGGTGGCGAAGTAATGCAACTTGACAGCCATTACATCATTGGTATCTCTAGCTTTCATATTCTTCTCTACCAAAACATCGAGAACTTTCGCTACTTTGTACGATTCATGAATTAATTCCATATGGTCTCTTAAATACATTGATAACTGTAAAATTCAGAAAAAAATTAAAATCCATTTCACTGAAATAAATCGGAGCCAATTCAGGAATCTTATTCAAAACTAATTCAGATAAATGTTCATTTATAAAGCGCTATATCCACAAAATGTGCTCATGGCACATTTAATTAAACATTTAATCATGTGACCAGCCCATACAAAATAAATCCAGATAAAAAATATTGAGAACAAATCTAGAAAAAATATTAAACAACCAATTTCAATAAACTATTGACAAATCCGGAAGTTTAAATAACCAATTGAAGTGTGGGCCATAAAGATACCTTCCCCGTGTAGAAACTGGGCAATTTGATGATATATTTGAACTAAAAACAATAATAATATTCAAACTAATTAATCTATCAACATTTTACTTCAAATCCTTCTCAAAACATGGCATTCACCAGGGAATACCCCTGCGATAAAAAAATCTATTAAAAGAAGTCATGTTCGTGTCATGTGACTTGGCTGACATGGTAACTAGCAACAGGTGTGAAGCCAGAGGAGAATCCATTGCATATACAAGACGATGTTGTCTTTAATCACTTTCCAATTATCATAAATATCGAAGTCTAATTAAATTCTTAGATTATCCACTTCTTTTGCTGTATTTCTTATCTCAGAAACTGTTGTATGTTTAAACACACCATCAAGTTTATCAACATATATATCAAGCGCTCACCGACAACAAGAGACCAGACAATCTTCGCGTGCAACCTATGACATCACTCGAGCAGACATCGGGTTTCTGGTTAGTGAAACCCTTACAATTTTGTCTTGTACGTGCACGCTCCATGGATATATTTTCTAGTAAGATCGGATGTTTTTTCTAGTAAGATCGGATGTTTCTACTTCCCATATATACCAAAATTTCCTGGCTTGCTAGCCTGGAGGTCGGGTGTTCGATCCCTGCATTGGCCGAGAAAGTTCATCCAGATTTTCCGGCGTGGTTACCCCTTGTCAGTGATACAGGACGGAAGGCCTGACAAGGACAGCTGTCTAGTCGTTCGGATGGGACGAAAAAACGAGGTCTCGTGTACATATTGGCGTGCACATAAAAGATCATTTGGCAGTTGGAATTCGATATAAGAGTAGGCCGTAGCGCCGCTGCCCGGGCAAAATTTCCCTCATAGCACACTGTATGATGTATGCCCATCTTCATTAGCCCAGGTTAGGAGCAGAACAGTAGGACGCTAAACCTCATTTCATTTCATTTTCCCAAAATTTCCATTCTTTATTAGAAATAACCACCGGATAAATACTTTTCTGGGAAAATAACTTAAAGGTGAGATTCGGTGGTTTTCACCTGTCTTTATATCCGCCACATTATGTCCACTGGGGCATGCTATGTTGAGAAATAAAGATATTTTAGGTGAATCTTACCTTGACTGGATTAAGATTAACAGAGTTGACTAATCCTAGTAAAGAAGGCACTAACTGAGCAGGTAATTTAGCCTCTTTTTCTAAACCTGTAAATAATATCCAACATATCGCTTGAAAAACAGGAACGATAAAAAAAGAAGCTACCAAGAGAGAGAGAGAGAGAGAGAAATGGGGTTTAACGTCCACTCGACACAAACTAGGTCATTTCGGGACTAACATGGTTTAATTTTATTTACATAATTCGCTTGCGCATAGGGGTCTTTAGCAGTGGGAGGAAACCGGAGGACCCGGAGAAAACCCACGAGGTTGGACAGGCGACCCTACTCCTTGCCACGTACAACCGGGGATTCGAAACCACGCCAGTCGACTCAATGACAGACTTAATGATACAGCGTGCGCACGCTAACCATTCAGCCATCCAACCCCCCAGAAGCTACCAAGTAATTCTGGTTGAAAGAAGTGTTAAATTATTTCTAAAAAAAATACTCTTCAATCATAAAATTATATAAAACTGGAATTAGTTCTACTACCTTAATTATTCCCTTAATTTTTAATGTCTGAATGAATACTGTCTGGTTGACAATGTCTGAATACTGTCTGGTTGACAATTGTCCGAATACTGTCTGGTTGACAATGTCTGAATGCTGTCTGGTTGACAATGTCTGAATGCTGTCTGGTTGACGATATCTGAATGCTGTCTGATTGACAATGTCTGAATACTGCCTAGCTGACAATGTCTGAATAATGCCTAGCTGACAATGTCTGAATACTGTCTGGTTGACAATATCTGAATACTGTCTGGTTGACAATGTCTAAATACTGTCTGGTTGACATGTCTGGCAATGCCTTTGTAAATGTATCCATAATTATATGATACATAATCCCTGATAAAAACTCTTACCTTGTGGAACAGTAAAATATTCTAAATCTGCTTTAGGAAAGAAATTGTTGATGGCAGATACACATTGATGTTGACCTGAAACAGATACAAGAATAAATTTATTATATTGGGCTGATCAATTTGATGTTTTTAAAATGAAATGGGCAAATGAAGACGGGCATACACCAGGACTATGGCCTACTCTTATTTCAAATTCCGAAGCCAATGTTTACAGGACCTTGGTATTTCATCATATCCAAAAGACTACAATATGTTGTCCCTTGACAGGCCCTCCTTCGTCCTGTACCATGAAACGCACCGGAAAATTAGATTAACTTTCGCGGCTAACACTGGGATCGAACATGGGACCTCCAGACTAGCAAACCAACATCTTCCTAACTGAGTTACCACACCACCGCTCCCCTCTTTTGAAAGAAAATGAAATGGGGATTAAAATTCCATCAACACATCCACTTCAGTCTATTCCTCCAGACGTATGCGTTTCCGTCTATTTTGTCGTCAAATTCCAACTGCCAAGGGATCCTTTACATACACATCAACATGTACAGTGTATTTTGTTCTCTTTTATTTCAAACTCTTCTTACCTACAAAAGGAGCCATCTGTGTGGCTGTTCTATTGACTAAGTTGACAAGGTGTATACTTTATTTCAAACTCTACTTAGCTACAAAAGCTGCCATTTGTGTGGCTGTTCTATTGACTGAGCTGACACGGTGTATACTTTATTTCAAACTCTACTTACCTACAAAAGCTGCCATTTGTGTGGCTGTTCTATTGACTGAGTTGATATGGTGTATACTTTTATTTCAAACTCTACTTACCTACAAAAGCTGCCATTTGTGTGGCTGTTCTATTGACTGAGTTGACATGGTGTATATTTGCTCCTGCCTGTAACATCAATCTTGTCACTTCAACATTGCCTAAAATAGAAATTTAGCAATTTTAGATTATGGTTGACAAATACTGAATGATAATTTAAACATACATTATACAAGACCTAAATCTGCCTATTGCGGGTCTTTCTTTAGGCCTGAAATGTTATCTAATTAATTACTTAGACGTTAATCAACTTATCCAGGCCATAATCAACTGTTGATGTTATCGCTAGCCTGCGATATTTACTGGATTAGGATCCGATCTGCTGCTCAACGCTCATTAATGATTACCGGTAAATAAAAACTCTAAACTATGTTTTTATCGTACCGACTTTAGTAATGATGTCAGCCCCTCTATCCTGTACCACCGAGCCATCGCAGCTTTCATTAGTAACACAAGAGATGGGGATTACTTTTGCCCACCCTCTTTTCATTATTGACAGCTGTAAAGAGAGAGAGAGAGAGAGAGAGAGAAAAGAGAGAGAGAGTGAGGTCTACTCTATACAAACTAGGTCATTTCAGGTCTAACATATGGTTGAATTTTATTTCAATAATTCGCTTGCGCATAGAGGTCTTTAGCAGTAGGGGGACCCAAAGAAAACGACCCTACTCCTTGTCACGTACAACATGGGAATCAAAACCACGGCAGATGACTCAATGACAGACCTTATGATACAACGCCCACCTTGCCAACCATTCTGCCACCCAAACCCCTCTTCCATTATTTTCACACCCTCTTTCCATTATTGACAGGTGTCATTATCACAAGTAATTTTTGCATGTTCCCTTCGTTAACAGGTGTTTGAACCTGTTACCTCATAAAAGGTGTGCTATAAATACAACTTAATGAATAGACAGACTTACCTGATAGTGTAGCAAACATGAGAGCTGTATAACTATTATCATGGTAATTACTGTTAACATCGGCACCATGTGCTAACAACAATTCACACAGTTCCTTTTTACCTCGAAATGCTGCATGTTGTAATGGGGTCATGCCAGTCTGTAAAAATAAACATTCTCTTAATTTACAGGATAAAAAAAGAGAAAGAGAGAGAGAAATGGGGTTTAACATCCACTCGACACAAACTAGGTATTTCGGGACTAACATATGGTTTAATTTTATTTCAACAATTCGCTTGAGTGTAGGGGAGGAAACCGGAGAACCCGGAGAAAACCCAAGAGGTTGGACAGGCAACCTACTCCTTGTCACGTACAACCGGGGATTCGAAACCCTGCCAGTTGACTCAATGACAGGCCTTATGATACAGCACGCACATGCTAACCATTCGACCATCCAACCCCCTAAAAAAGGAGAGAAATTCTAGTTTGTGAAAACAGTTGTCAGAGGGAAATACTTTTTTATATCTTATTAAAGAAGCATTATGTAAGAGTTAAATAAAGATCTGGTCGTTCACGTTATAATAGTACAAAACTAGACAATGCAAAATGAATATATTGAAAATTTCATTCAAATTACTTTATTCTGAGCGATGTTATCAATGTGTGCATTGATTGTTTATTATTGCAGCCTCATTTCTCCATTTTTAAATTAAATCATTAAATGGCCGAACCGTGCTAATCTACATGTACTTAAAATCAGAGCCATTTTATGGTCTTGTCATGTTAATAAATGTCTAATTAAGGCCCGAAGAAAGATCTGCATTGGGCAAATGTAGCTCTTGAATGTCTTATTAAATCTATATAACTATAACCATGCCGGACTGAATTTTGTGCCTGACAATGTGTCTGTGACAAGTGCCTTATTTACAGGTTTGCATTGTGGTATTATTTTTAAAAATAGTTCTCACTGAATCGAGACAATCCACTCTCACATCTTTCTCTTTCAACAGATTTTGAACTTCTTCAAATGAACCTGAAACGAGATAAAGTTAATGAACATTATTTGAAAGAGCACTGGTGTTTTAAAGTAGTTTTTTTGAGCAAGTTTAGTTTTCATGCTTGAACTTTAAAAGAAAAATATAATTTATAAGGATAAATAAAAAGTATACAATCATAGCTAAAAACAAACACAGACCAATGTCATCAGACTACATGCAGTAGAAATGGTTCCACTACTGATGTCTTCCATCCTACTCCAACCACAGTAGAGGATTGTTCTAAGCGGTTCCTTTGAGCAAGTTTTTTAGTCAAATGACTACAAAAAAGTTACTGGCCTATAACTCCCTTTAATTTACACATAAACTTAGCCCAAACTGTACTGCACATAGCTTAACATATAATGAACCAATTCCCATTGAAATAAAAGTGAAGCCTTACTGCATAATTATATGATTTGATGAAACCCACCTACCGCGTGAAATTTCTCTCCTATCCTACTTAAAATGTCCGCCCAGCCAGAAATAGCATGCACACTCCGCCTCACGTAATCATGCATCACTTTCCATATTTGGCTTTCATAGTAATCTAGCGTAGTAACACTGCCTTACAAGGGAAACCATGGGCAGGGTTAACGCAATGCGATATTTGGCAAGATTTCACCTGCTTGGTGTCATGGTGGATTGTAAGAAATATCACTTCGAAAATGTAGAACGCATTACCACAATAAACACTGTTTGGTAACTATTTTAGTGGTCCAGAATTCACTATTTATGATAGAATTACTTATTTCAATACAAACTGTAATGATATGTGTGGAAAATTTTGCTTTTGAACCAATTTGTACTTGCGCAAGGCCTCTTAGCTATAGACAGTATCAATTGTAGCAGTAAACACAGTTTACAGCAACAATATTGTAGCTGCATGTACATGTATACATGGACTTTGTAATACCATAACACATTATTATTGTATTTGATTTGATTTTCTTTCTATCTATATAGCACAAAAATTTGTCATTTCTCCTCGACAGGCCCCTTATATGTAGTTATCTCCCTTTATAACGACGTTTTCACGTCCGTCAGATTCCAGTAAATTCTTTAGTTAATTGTCGCAATCTTGTTCACTAAACTTAATAAAAAGATACCAATTTTCGTTACAAAATACAAAAATAAAAGGATAATAAATAAGAGAAAGGGTTTAGAAAAGATACCATCGTTTTCGTTGATTTTCTCCACGAGTTTCTCTTCATTTTCCGACAATTCGCCTTTCTTGTTGGCAGCCATGTTTGATGCATGCAAACTCTCGATTGCTCAAGTCTCAATTATAACTGGACAAAATCGCTAGCAGTCTGGATAACTTTAATTCAGTGAACGGTAAATTTATACCCTCTACACCATTACTAAAATAAATGGATTTTGTAAATCCAATTATGTTTCTAGGCAACTATATACCAGTAAAATAAAACGTTATGCTATTATATAACGACAATTGGTATAATATATAAATTATGTGTTCAAACCATATTTTTAATATGTTTATAACTGACTTAGAGATTATTTGGGCGGGGCCAATTTACAGTTATCCTCGAGCACCTGTCAGTCAGGAAACTGGAGACTTCTGATGTTGATTAACTGTCAGAACTTCACTATGTATTGCTAGAAGTTTCATTTTTTATTACCCTATTAGGCCACTCCAGTTAAAAGGGACGAAAAACTTTAAAAAGGTGTAGTTTCGTGATGAAATAATGATGTTAGAAATGGGCTACTTTTACTTTAAAAAGAGCTACTTTTATCTAATAATTTATTTTTTTTAATTTGCCTATATATATATTAGATAATTTTATACATAGATCTAGGAATTTATAATTCATTCTTGCAATAAAATAAACACAATTTTGATACAAACAATGACTTAAAATGATAAATGGAATAGACTATGAAAAAGTTTTAATTTAAATTTAAAAACATCTAGAATAGATTTGGGTGAAAATGAAAGTTACCTTTTTAATTTTTTTATTTAGGGTAGGCCCTAATTAAATGATTTATTTGTATTAATTGATGAATCCCAAGCATATTTTCTTTTTACAAATTATGTAGGCCTACGAGCCTATTAGCCTATATCCTAAAATTTATTTTTTAAAAATTAAAAGAGAAATATTGGAAGTAGAAGAGTGTATAATAATAGCACAAAAAATTCTCAACGACGTCTGAAAAAGTGGCCTACAGTATTTACATTTCCTAAAAAAAATTAAAATCTGAAACCTAGAAATATCGTGGATATTGTGGAGGTTTTTTTTCATTGTAGGCCTATAATATGGAAGATTTTAAGATAATTGAAGAAGTTCTGCAAGAAGACATGGACGATCCCAGTTTACAATTTGAGAAGTTAGTCCAAGGTGGAATTGTTAATAAAGCTGCCCTGTTTTCTTCAGATAAAAATCCAGATAAATATTTCATAAAATTAAACAAACATTCTGTTGTAAGTACCAGTAACTATTCACTACATTACAACTTGGGTATCATTAAAGGACCTAAGTCCGTAACTCAAAATCCTCCAAAATCTTCGACTTCGAAAACACGAATTATTGGTGAATTTGAATCAACATTGATGATGTAAACTTACCGGGAAAAGATGAGCTTCTGATATCCGATATTTAAGATAAAATAATTTTTTTAACATTGGTACACGAATCGTGTACCATAATGCGCTTCAGCCCCAGTTGTATTGAGAGGGACAAGGCTAGACACATTGCACCAAATCAAATGGAGTTATATAGACTAGAATAACTAGACGCTAGAAATTTGCACTCGATTGAGATTGCTGACTTATTTTGCCGAACATAACTGATTTGAAATTGGAGTAAAAACGGAAACCATTAAATGTAAATCAGTTTATATACATTCATATTACAGTATTATATGCGTTGCGACCCACTTTTGTGAATTTCTAGGTCCCAAATGTTAGCGATTTAGCTCCTTTAAGTTGTGCTGTGTTTGCAGGAGTTTCTGTTTTTAATGTTTAGTTTCAAACCATTGTTGGAAAACTGTTCAAATTTGTTGACAATCATGGAAAACTATTGGTTTTCTACTGTCAAATAGTTTCAAATGGTCCGTCTAGATTAGATAATAGGTGTTGAGTTTATAACTGCTTAGTTTCTCAAAAGGTGTTGAGTAATTAACAGACTAATAAATTACTTAACACTACTTGTGAAACTGAAGGGTTATATACCGGTCACTCATTATCTAATCTAGACAGACCATTTTAAACTGTGCAACAGTAGAAACCCAACAGTTTTCTGTCATTCTCAATGAATTTGATGAACTACATAATACAATAGAATTAATGTACTGTTTTACTAATATAATGGTGATTCCCAGTGAATAACCTTACATATTATAGTCATTGGATACTCAACATGCTGTGGTAATTACATCAATTTTACCTTGCATGATCTTATAAAGATGCATTATGTAAGATTTAGATAAAGAGCTGTCTGTTCTTTCTATAATAGTTTAAAAATAGATATAATGAAAAATGAATGTATTATAAATTTCAATCAAATTACTTTATTCTGGGAGGTCACGGTGGCTAAATGGGTGAGATGCTGGCTTGCTAGCCTGGAGGTCTGGTGTTTGATCCCTGCATTGGCCGAGAAAGTTCATCCAGATTTTCCGACGTGTTTCCCTCTTGTCAGTGATGCAGGACAGCTGTCTAGTCGTTCGGATGGAATGAAACGAAATAACCGAGGTCCCGTATACACATTAGCATGCATGTAAAAGATCCCTTGACAGTTGGAATTTGATATAAGAGTAGGCTGTATTATAGTGCCGCTGTCCGGGCAAAATTTCCCTCATAGCACACTGTATGGCGTAAGCCCGTCTTCATAAGCCCAGTTTGGCGCAGAACAGTAGGACGTTAAACCCCATTTCATTTCATTTCACTTTACTTTATTCTGAGCAAAGTTATGACTGTTTAAAGTTTTGACAAGATGTTGTAGGTAGATTGTTTATCATTGCAGCAACAGTACTTAAACATGCATTATGCCAGAGGTAAATCTGCCTGTTGCAGGTCTTGCTTTAGGCCTGAAATGTTATATAAACTATTAATTAGACATTTATTAACGTGAAAAGACAAATAATTAACTCTCGATGCCATCTTATGTGTCCGATTTTCATTGGATTTGAATACAATCTGCTGTTCAACGCCCATTGATGATTAACGACAAAAATGGATAATCAAGATTCAAGACTTTGTTAATTATCATAACAACGGTAACAATGACAATAAAGGCTACAGTGATTTTAAAATAAGGTTTTCTCGGCTTAGAGTGAACCAATTTTCAGCATATTCCTTTTACATGGTCTAGTGTTTAACTATTGAAGTAAGAACTGCCAGCTCTTATTCTAATCTTCCATAATATATCTTTAAAAATCCAGACAGTCCCTATTTTCAGTTTATCGTTAAATTTTTAAGTTTCACAAGAGTTTAAATCCGTTTAAATCTCAGCCATCCGAATTTCAAGAGATTTGATTATACTTTACACGTAGGCTTGTCATGTGTCTTAATTAATAATTTATATAACATTTGAAGCCAAACGAAAAACATGCAATAGGGAGATTTAGCTCTTACATAATGCATCTTTAATTAACAGTGCCTAATTAAAGTAATAAAGTCATACACCTAGTTGCTGAGAGGATCTCCAGCCCCTTTGTTAGTGGTGCAGGACGGATAGCCTTGTATGGCACAGAACCTATTCATTCGGATGGGACAAAAACCTAAGATCCTGTATATACAATTGGCAGCACATGAAAGATCCCTTGACAGTTGGAAATCAATTTAGGAGTAGGAAAGATAAATACGGTTTAATGTTCACCCAGCACAAACTACATCATTTCGGGACTAACATATAGTTCAATTTTATTTCAAAGATTCACTTACATGTAGGGGACTTTAGCAATGGGAGGAAACCAGAGGACCTGGAGGACTCGGGGGGAAAACTTACAAGGCTGGACAGGCGACCCTACTTGTTGTCAAGTAATAAGGGGGAATCAGAACCACTCCATTTCACTCAATGTCAAACCTTACGTGTTAAACCAGACAACTCCCCGAAACAAAAGAAAGCTGTTGCACCGCTGTCAGGGCAAAATTTACATCAAAGCACGGTGCCTGACCAAGTCAGTGCCGAAAAGGAAGAAGTTAAATCCTCATTTCCTTTTATTTGTATTAAACTTTTTATATTTTACTCTTCAATTTCAGGCAAAAGAAATGTTTGAAGCTGAAAAAAGCAGTTTAGATTTTCTTAATCAGATAGAAATAATCGATGCACCAAAATCATACAAGGTAGATAGTGTAGGAGGACAAAACCAGAAAGATAGAGAGAGAGAGAAAGAGAGAGAGAGAGGTTTGATGCCCATTCAACACAAACTAGGTCATTTCAGAACTAACATATGGTTCAGTTTTATTTCCATTATTCGCTTGCGCATAGGGGTCTTTAGCTGTGTGAGGAAACTGGAGGACCCGGAGAAAACCCATGAGGTTGGACAAGCGACCCTACTCCTTGTCACATACAACCGGGGAATCGAAACCACGCCAGTTGACTCAATGACAGACTTTATGATACATCGCACAAGTGCTAACCATTCGGCCATACCCCCCCCCCCCCCTGTGTAGGAGGAGACAACCTCACATAGGTTATTGGGTGGCCGAATGGTTAGCGCATGCTTGTTGGATCAGAAGGTCTGTCAATGAGTCAAGTTGCGTGGTTTCGATCCCCCAGTTGTATGTGACAAGGAGTAGGGTCACCTCTCCAATCTTAGAGATTTTCCCCAGGTACTCCAGTTTCTTCCCACTGCTAAATACCCCTAGGTTCAAGCGAATTATTGAAATAATTGAAGGTGATTGATATTAGAGATTGTGAATCTATTGACGGCCATGTTTTTGTTTATTAAAGGTGATTGATATTAGAGATTGTGAATCTATTGACGACCATGTTTTTGTTTATTAAAGGTAATTGATATTAGAGATTGTGAGAATGGTTCAGCTGTACATGTTTTACAATATATACCAGATCTTCAACCAATGGCTGATTACTGGGCGGACTTCGGCGAGAAAATGGCCAGGTAAAGATCCAGTCTTCTTTCATGGGAAAGTACCTTAAAGAACATTACATCAAATAAATTAGACTGAAATGAAATGAAATGAAATGGGGTTTAACGTCCTACTGTTCTGCTCCTATACTGGGCTAATGAAGACGGGCATACGCCGTACAGTGTGCTATGAGAGAAATTCTGCCCGGGCAGTGGCACTATCGCCTACTCTTATATCGAATTCTAACTGCCAAGGGATCTTTTACGTGTATTCCAATGTATACACTGGACCTCGGTTTTTCGTATCATCCGAAGGATTAGACAGCTGTCCTTGTCAGGCCCCCTGTTCTGCACCACTGACAAGGGGGAACCACGCCGGAAAATCCTGATGAGTTTTCTCGGCCAATGCAGGGATCAAACACCCGACCTCCAGGCTAGCGAGCCAGCGTCTTAACCACCTAGCCACCGTGGCTCCCTAAATTAGACTACTTTAAACTAGACACAAGCTAGGTCATTTCGGGACTAACACACGGTTCATTTTTATTTCAATAATTCGCTTGTGCGTAAGGGGTCTTTAGCAGTGGGAGGAAACTGGAGGACCCGGAGAAAACCCACGAGGTTGGACAGGCGACCCTACTCCTTGTCACGTGCAAGAGGGGAATCGAAACCCCGCCAGTTAACTCAATGACAGACCGTATGATACAGCGCACACGTGCTAACCATTCGGTCATCCAACCCCCCTGAAATAAACCAGTTATTTTTAAATTAAGGCGCCAGTTTCCTTTTACAAATTAATTAGATCTTACAATTTACTTTTTAGCATTTCAAACATTTGGAATTCAAGTCAAATTAAAAGTCATATTCATAATATTATGCCCTAAGCCAATGAATATAATTAAAGATTGTTACAAATTTTATTTTAGATTGCCCAGTGTGTAAGAGATGCCCGGACATCAGTGCTATGGCCTACTCTTATTTCGAATTCCAACTGTCAAGGGTTCTTTTACGTGCAAGCCAATGTGTACACAGGACTTCAGTTTTTAGTCCCTTGCATCCTACATCACTGACAAGGGAGAACCACCAAACAGATAGTTAAGATCTTAATACAAAATTTAGCTCTTGGCCAATTAAAGGGCTGAATTCTTACACTACTTTACTTCTAGTTTTAGTAAATAAGGAATAAAGCCCTATGGTTTAATTAGGATAAAATTGGATTCTTGGAGACTGTTTAAAGTCATTAATATTACCTCATTATCATGATTTTGTTTCAGAATTCACAGTTTTAATTCCACTCTCAAAGATGATGTAAAAAGAAAAGAAAGTTTTGTCCATTCCAGTCCCCAGCAACTTAATTATGTAGATAAATTTGGATCAACGTTTCCCAGATATTTTGGTGAATTTAGAGTGGCACCAGTTCAAACAGATACGTGGGAGGTAAGAGCAGTCAGCTACGAATGTCTAATTTAATATAAAAATAAAATAATTCTGTAGACTGGCAGGGCATGGTATACAGAATATTATGGGCTTGGACTTATAATTCTTTTTCCCGTGACATCACTGCTATTGGGCAGGGCCCTTATTCACGAAAACTTAAACTAAGTTACAACCGAAATTTTAAGAAATATTGCAACTTCATTGGATATATGCAAATTGATTTTACTGGTCAGCCAATCGAATTGCACTATTTCTTAAAATTTCGATTGTATCTTAGTTTAAGTTTTTGTGAATAAGGGCCCAGTTTTTCTATTATAACCAATCTAGACTAATATTTGTGACTGTCGTTTGTCTGTCTGTCTGTTCAGGGTTGGCGGCTACACTAGGGTTGTCCTGAGGCTGAAATTCGGTGTAGCTTGGACCAGAGAGTAACATAGGCCTGGTAGCGTTGGCCTACGGCTTCCGGTTTCAGAGTTGTAGGCACAACCTGTGCAGTGCTGTGTCATCTACTAGTGAATGAATAAAATGGTTTTTAGCATCCTTTTTATCTCTGCTTCAACCAGGCTAATGAATAAGGGTGTGCTATATGCAGTGAGCTACATGCAGTGTGCTATATATATGCAATGTGCTATATATGCAATGTGCTATATATATGCAGTGTGCTATATATATATATGCAGTGGGCTACATGCTGTTTGCTATATGCAGTGTGCTATATGCTGCTATAAGTGAAATTTTGTCCAGACAGCTATTGAATAGCAACTGTTAAGGAATTTTTTAGTTGCACACCAAGGTGTACACGAGTCCTCATTATTTTTGTGCAATCCGAATGACTAGGCCCTGTTCTTTTCCAAGCCATCCACCCTGCATCACAGACAAGGGGAAACTACTCCGGAAAATCATAAGATTCTTTCTCGACCATCATTGGGATCGAAACCTGGGAACCTAAGCCACTTCATTATTATTCAGTTATATAGTGAAGCCCTTGTATGTTATTCATTTCTTTTCTTCAGGAATATTTTATAAGAGAGATTATGGATCCATTAATGAGAGGAATAGAAAAAAAGGTACTTGCATGTATAGACTAGACATCGGCGGGACTAAAAATATCAGTTATTCATTTTATCCTGTTGATGTCTTGGTAAATATTGACCTGGTTATGAATCGTGATACGAATGGTATCGTTAGAACTGAATCGCAATACGTATTGTATCGTGACTACAGTGGCAATACCCAGTACTATTATAGACTTGTTTTAACAATTGAAGTGTAATGAGGTTTAACCTCCTACTGTTTTGCACCAGCAGATGCCATGCAGTTTATTATAAAGGACATTTTGTCCGGACAGCAGTATTTCTGCATATTATTTTTTAAATTCCAATTGCAATGTGTACCTCAGTTTTTCATACCATCTGAACTTGTAGATGCAATTCCCTTGTCAGTCCCTATAATCAGGCAATACTGACAAGGGGAAACAAGACAGGATTCAATCACAGAACCACTTGCTTAGTTAGAACCACTTGTTAATATATTTGAATCGTTACAATTATTACAACTGTTCTCCTCTCAGTACAAATGCCTTATACAGAAAACAGGATATGGACACCATAATATTTTTGTCGGGGTTTGAACATAACTGATCATGATTGAACTTATATACATTTCGAACATGATTGGGATATAGTTTAGGTAAATATTGTTATCTTAATACATTATAATGTTTACATACTAAGACAAAGTGATATATCTACTGTACAATCGCAAACACAGGACAGGCTAGACTGTTAACTTGCTATTCCATTTGCACTGCTTGCAAATTTTAGAGAACATAACTGATTATTTAAAAATATTGCTTGTTAATCAATTTATATAAATTCATATTACATGCTTTTCCACGCATTTTAAAGGAGCTAAATCGCTAATATTTTGGACCTAGAAATTGACTCAAATGGGTCGCAATGCATATAATGTATTGTGAATGTATGTAAACTGATAAGCATTCAATCGTTTCAGTTTTTAGTGTAATTTCTAATCAGTTATGTTCCGCGAAATACGCCAGTCTTTGGTTTTTCCAGTCTACGCTGATAGTATTTATTGTGCATGCTCTCCAGATAAGAATATGGTGTCACCGTTTAACATGACTTGTGGAATATGTCTAGCCTCGTTCTTCAAGTCCCTTGTTACAAATGGCGCTGAAATGCATTATGGTACACGATTCGATTCGTGTACCAATAGTAAAATGTTTATTTTGTCTTAAAAATTGGATATCAGAAGTCCATCACAACATCAATGTTCATTTAAATTGAGAAATAATTCTTGTTTACAATGTCGAAGACTTTGGATGATATTGAGTTAGAGACTTAGCTACTTTAAGTCTGTTAAAATCATGTTTTTTCAGGGCCCCCAAAATAGAGCTATATGCCCTTTAAACGTAACATGATGTCCGTTAAAATCATATTTTTCTATTATTTCAGTATGGAGATAGAGATTTAATATCCGAATGGTCATGGTTACAATTAAATATATATAAACTATTTCAAGATGTCACAATATTACCAGAAATAATACATAGTGATCTGTGTGTCGCTAATTTTGGACAAACACAAAATGGTCCAGGTAGAAATATTCTTTTAATATGTTAGGCCATATAAATAAAATATTCTGGTTGTCAGATATTCCCATGTCATGAAAATGAAATAAAATGAAATGGGGTTTAATGTCCTACCCGGACATACAGTGCCATAATGAAGATGCCATACAGTGTGCTGTGAGGGAAATTTTTCCTGGACAGCGGTTACGACCTACTTTTATTCCAACTGCATGCAAATGTGTATCTGGGACCTGGGTTTTTTGTCCCATCCGAATGACTAGACAGCTGTCCTTGTGAGGCCCTCTGTCCCGTACCACTGACAAGGGGAAATCATGTCAGAGAGAGACAAAGAGAGAAAACTAGGTAATTTCAGGACAAATATGATCCAGTTATTTCTATAATTCGCATGGTCGTAGACTAGTGTAGAGGTCCTTAGCAGCCGGAGGAAACCGAAGAAAATCCACCAGGTTGGACAGGCGACAAGCCACCCCACTTGATCAATAATAGACTTTATGGTTTCATGCGCATGCATTAAACCACAAGACCACCCAATCCCCCTAGAAAAGTAGGATGTAAAATACCAATATTCTTCTAAAAATAGTTTTACCAATCAGAGGCGGATCCAAGGGGGGGGGGGGGACCTAATTTTCGACAGTGCCCCTTTTTACTGCTGAAACTGCCTTTTCTCAGACCCAAATATTATTATGTCCGTTCCCAACCCGTTGCAGGGATCCCAAATGACTCAAACCATCGACACAAACACACCAGTCTGGTCTAATTAATGCTTCCACTTTTAAACGAATTCTTGTTGTTTAGCTGACGGTGCCCTAATCCTATAGAGTGACAATAGACAGACATCAATGATAGCATCTTGTGGAATTGGCGGCGTCAACACTCGTGCCCATCACCGACGCGCATGAGTGCAACTTCATGTAGCACTGTTTCATGTGTGGACAGTACACATAACAAGGCTTAAATAGTGAAGTGTCTAGGGAATAGATTTGTCTTTTTTCCTATCATAATGCCTCGCTCGCCTTGACAATTTTCGAGTCGCATGTTCAACTGGCTTTTTTGCTCGATTTTAAGGCTCTGTTTCAACGATTTCTGAACATTTACTTAGACGAAAATATCAGCCAAATTGCTCTTGGAATGGCTACAGATGCAAGGAAATAACGGATAAAAAAAACCCTCTCAGCGGCGTGCTCCGTCCCCGCAGCGCCCCCCACCCCCCTTTTCAAAATTCCTAGATCCGCCTCTGCCAATTTAGATTTAATTTCTTTTTTGTTCTTTCAGTTTTATTTGACCCGTCCTTGAATTATGCGCATTTTGAAATGGATCTGTTGCTGTCAGCCACAGAAGATCCGTTCCATGACGATTTCTTCACAAGTTATCATCAAATCTTGCCTCAGCTGGAAGGATGGGAGAAGAGACTGGAAGCGTACAAATTCTTCTATAACGTGATAATGTGGTATCACATAGATGAGGAACAATATAAAACCAGTTCGTACAGTTCTGCAGAAAAAGTAACCGATATTATTAAACAAATGGGAACATGAATTTATTACAGTATCTGAATTTCCAAAATATACATCATATTGATGAGGAGCAATATAAAACCAGTTCGTACAGTTCCGCAGAAAAGGTAACCGATATTATTAAGCAAACGGGAACATGAATTATTACGGTATCTGAATTCTCAATATAAAACCAGTTCACACAGTTCCACAGAAAAAGTAACTGATATTATGAAACAAACAGGAACATGAATTTATTACGGTATCTGAATTCTCAAAATATTTATAAAGAACAAAATAAAACCAGTTTGTACAGATCCACAGAAAAAGTAACCGATATTATGAAACAAACGGGAACATGAATTTATTATTGATATACGTGTATATAATTCATATTTGAATACTCGTCATATTTTTATTTTTTATTTATTTTTATATTAATAAATCTAACCGTGTGATAAACTTACATAGGAATAATTGTAGCTGTTTTTTTTTTTAATTTCTCTAATTTGAATACGGGTGGATGGCGGGGGTGGGGTGGTTGGAGGGGGGGGGGGGGTATTCTATTAAAGATGCATTATGTAAGATTTAGATAAAGAGCTGGCCGTTCTGGCTATAATAGTAAGAAAATAGATAATGAAAAGGGAATATCTTGAAAATTACAGTCAAATTACTTTATTCTGAGTGATGTTATGACTGAAGAATAGTGTAGTCTTGATTGACATTGCTATCATTGTTATTAAGATAATAAATAAAGTCTTGATTATCCATTCCAAATTATTAACTGTCAATCATATTTCAATCCGTTCAAAATCACAGCCATCCAATGTTCTATAGAGTTGATTATAGGCTTTTCATGTGAATAAATGTCTAATTAATAATTTATATAACATTTGAGGCAAAAATGGCCTGCAATAGGCAGATGTAGCTCTTACATAATGCATCTTTAAATACCTTATAGTTGAGTAACCACCTAACAGTGCAATTTGACCTTAAATCTAAGGTTTTTAGGTAGTTTTAGTAGACAGAGAAGCCTGGAGCTGTATTCTGTTAACTGCCTTAGTTTTAGTAGACAGAGAGGCCTGGAGCTGTATTCTTTTAACTACCTTAAACTTAATTAAGTTGCCATATTAAGGCACAATTTCTCCTTAAATCTTAGGTTTTTTATAGCTTGTAGATAAGAAGACTAGGAGCTGTATTCTCTTAACAACTTATGTTACCACATTTAGGGGTTAGCTCTAAATATTAAGGCCACTTGCTAACTTCGTGAGAGAGAGAGAGAGAGAGAGAAATGGGGTTTAAGTCCACTTAACACAAACTACGTCAACCATGAGGTTGGAGAGGCAACTCTACTCCTTGTCACCACAACTAGGGAATCGATGCAGACTTCGTCAAGTCACGAGATGTAAACTGAGCTAAGGTGCATGATTGTTGCCGAGTATTGTGGGTTAGGGCTAGGTCTTAGGTTAGGCTTTATATCTTGAAAACATGACGTAATCTGCAAGTGGCCTTAATATTTAGATCTGACTACATTTGGGGGCAGTTTCACCTTAAATCTAAGGTTTTACTTAATTTTAGTGGACAGCAAGATCTGTAGCTGTATTCTATTAACAAGCATAAACTTATTTAAACACATTATAGTGCAATATCTAAGGTTTTTCCTTAGAAGGTTTACTCTGTTTAGAAAAGTTATAGGTTAAAAGCTCCTAAACTTTAAGGCTAGCTGACCAATTAATCATTTCCCTTATTTATAATTAACAAAAATACCAGTTTTAAAGTGTTCATATTAGATAGTAATTTACATGATTAAAACAACTAGAGTAGATACAATATTTAACAAAAATACAGGTTTTAAAGTGTTCATGTTAGATAATAATTTACATGATTAAAACAAATAGACTAGACACAATAATTAACAAATATATTGGTTTTAAAGTGTTCACTACACAGCAATATAGACCATTAATACAGAAATCCTAGATAAGATACAATGTTATAACATAAAACGATTCATAAATATGTAACTGCCATACTCATGCATGTACATGTAGTTGTGAATAAACTACTATTATTCAATTATTTATTTATAATAATTTGGAAAATTAAAAAAAAAACCCAACTTAAATTAGACTTAGACACGGTGTTTCACCCGATATTTGATGTACAACAGAGCCTGAAAGTGTTCATTTTAGACCAGTGGTTCTCAACCTTTTTTGGCACACCTTGGAACAAATGAAAAAATAGCGGCACACCTGGCTAAATATATATGAAAAAATTTGAATTTTACAAAATAAAAACATAGCAAGTCATAGATGGCATACAGCCGTAGACACAGACTAGTCATAGACACATAGAATGACTCAAACTAAATAAAGAAAAACGCAGCTATAAACTTACAAGTAGACACCAGTGAATACGCAATTGTGATCACGCGGTGTGCCGCCCAAAATTTTGCTGCACAATTAGGAAGTTGAGAATCACTGATTTAGACTATTAAGAGCGTGTCCACGAGAGCACCATGCAGAAATTGAAAAAATTTCAACCATACTTGGTCTATGGGGACCCCTAGGCGACAGAAGTCACAGGATGGAGTGAAAAAATTTTGAACGGACAACTTCCGGTATAACTGGAAATTGTTGTTTTGGGGCAAAAGTTGACATATTTCGACCAATTTGTTACCCTAATTTCAAAACGCTCCTACCCAAAAAGTTGTGTCTCTACATTTTGATATTGGTCAGGTATGATAGGCCTAGTAGTCGTCTTAAAATCCTGCAGTCGTTTGGGAATGAATGAATCGTGAGGAATTTTCTGTGAGTGATCATAAAGTGGTCATTTTACATATGTTTAAAACTATGCTATCCTAAAACGCATGTAGCTGCTTCTTTGCAGGTCTGACATAGAATTGCTTGGTGTGGTTGTGAAGGGCATTTCTCAAACTAAATGTCAAAAGAAAAAAACTGACCGGAACGCAACCCACTAGAGTGCTGTAATATTCTGAAAATGTGTAAAACGGTATTTTCCACGAAATTCGTCTTTTCACTGATGACCGAATACTATTTTCAAGAGTTCAAATGACCGTTGATTATGAACATTAGTACTATTTTTTGTTACTTGAATGTTCCTTGTGCCAAATATACTATCTTGGTTAAAAATCATGAAGTTTTTGTGACAAAATCGGACGTTCGCGGTCATCGTAGGAAAGGGGCTTAACTGGTGTATAATTTTGCAGGATCAGGCAACGATTATTCTCACCTGTATGCAGTAGTTAGTAGCACGGAAGTGCATAAATGTAAAGACTGGCATAGCAAGCTTTTATATTAGCACAATTTAACCAAAGCAGCACCTTTTCAGCAATGACCAACGATTATCTTCAAATGACTACTGATCATCACCATTACTTGTAATATTTCGTAATTTCAACGTGAATCGTGTCAAATAGATCATTTTGTTTAAAATCATAATATTTTTGTGACAAAATCTGACTTTCACGCTTGCTTGATAGCCATAGGGAAGGGTCATAAGTGGTGTGTAATTTTGCAGGGATCAGACCACTGTTATTAAGATCTGTATTCATGAGCAGATCATCGTATAAATTTGACTAGATATCTTTTAATTTGTACACCTGCTCATGTAAAGAAGAACCATAAGAAGAAACATTCAGAAGTGTTCATGTAGGGACATTTAATGTCTGGTATTGAAATCTCTGAATCATGGCATAGATCACAACAGGATTTATAGAACTCCAGGATAATGTTGACCGCATGTGCCAAACTCCTACATATACCTACGTTCGAGCAGAAGTGCTCACTTACTTAGATTCCTACGTTCGAGTGTAAATGCTCTCTGACCTTCCTTCAAGGTTTTTGGACCACAGAGTACTGTTTTATTTTGTAGTAGTGTTTTTGACCTCTTCTCCTTCAGGGATTTCAATATAGAATTATCATAGCCTCCCGATCTGTAATGCCTCTCCATGAAAGCGTCCAAATGTTTCCATACAATGATCGGCTCCTAAATACAGATGGGAATAAGCTGGTCTGATTCCTAAAATATGTTTGACCAAAATAACCTATTTGGCACAAGGAACATTGGCAGAAAAGGTGTTGTATGGTCGTCTTGCTGATTGTGTGACTACGACTTACTGTCACTGGATCATCTACAATCCCCTCGTCCTTAAAACCTGTTACAAGAGCGAACATGTACATCCCTCAGAAACACTTCTTTTACCCAAGAGCTAAAATATGCTTACACTGAATCGTGTATCATATTTCACCTTTCATTATATCATATTTATAGAAGACGATTTGTTCTGTTTAAATTGCATTGGACATTCATGAAACTTGTCCCTGGTCTAACACATAGACCTTAGATCCTAAGGTCTGTCATTGAGTTAAGTGGTGTGACAGCATGCCGGTGACATGGTGTGGTGTTGTTTGTTCAACCTCATGGATATTCTCTTTTCCCACAAGTGTATTATTGAGAGAGAGAAATGGGGTTTAACGTCCACTCGACACAAACTAGGTCATTTCGGGACTAACATATGGTTTAATTTTATTTCAATAATTCGCTTGCGCGTAGGGTCTTTAGCAGTGGGAGGACCCGGAGAAAACCCACGAGGTTGGACAGACGACCCTAATCCTTGTCACGTACAACTGGGGATTCGAAACTACGCCAGTCGACTCAATGACAGACTTTATGATACAGCGCGCGCACGCTAACCATTCAGCCATCCAACCCCCCCGTGTATTATTGAAGTAAAATTGTACCATATGTTAGTCCCAAAATGACCTAGTTTGTGTTGAGTGGACCTTAAACCCCATTTCTCTCTCTTAAGTCAAAATCACCCTTGCTAACAAATATATTAACTTTGTGATGATGTCCATAGATACAGTATGCATCACCATATTATGCTAGTCCCAAAATGACCTAGTTTGTGTCCAGTGGACTTTAAATCTCATTTTACTTTGTTCCTCTCATGTCTAAATCATCCTTGCTAACGACTAAATGGAATATATTAAATTTGTAAAGATGTCCATACATATACTTCATCTGGGGTATTGATAGACGGGACATTTTATCCTAATTTTTGGTGTTTTTAATATATTTCTCCTGTTTTTATTATGACTGTTCCGTTCATTTTTATTTTTTATTTTGTTAGTAGGAAGGTTGCTAGTTGTGGGTAACATTCAACTTTGGTCCTAGTCCCTGCAAAGAACGAGCTATAGCCTCTTAAACATTGGTTTTCATTAAATTCAATTTTCAGAGAGAGTTGGGTATCCGGCCAGTACCAAGGTAGCATTAGCAGTAGAAACTTCAAACTCAGTGTGAAGGAGGAACCTGAGTGGTCCTACTAATGCCCAAAATTTTGTCTATCCAAATCAATTATTGTCCGAATAGCAGGTCATTCAAATTTGGATCCAAAATTGCCTATTTTTGGCTTATTTTTCGATTAAAAAATTCTTTTCCAATTTTCCAGGTCGGTATC